ATCTCATTGTTCACCAAACTTGCTTCCACGATCGTCCACCAATTTTACCCCATGTCCATGGCTCACTCCGATTGCCCAACCCTTTCACTACTATAACCACGATTGTTCACCCCTCACTAATGACTGTCCACTCCTCTCAAACACTCAATGTGCACCACTCACTGATTGTCCACCCATCTGATTGTCCACCCATCTGATTGTTCACCCCCTCTCAACCCGATTTCCTCCGCAAAGGGTGTCATCAAGCAGCAGCAATGGTCAATCGTGACCGTCTTAGTATATCACTGACCGTTTTAAACGGCTCAGATTTAAACAGCAAACTCGTCAGCGACAAAGTTACGCAAAATTAGTTCTTAACGCAACTTACCCCAGCGGGTCGAGATCATCAGGGTCTCGGGGGGGTCAATAGGTCACACGCTCCAAAGGTCGCGGTCAGGGGTTAGTAAAAGAGGTCGTGGTTCGTTACGCACGGCTCCCCTCGCATCCCCCTATTGTTGGGGAACTCTCCCTCCCTCCCCCCTCCTTCCCCGTGCCCTCCCCCCATCCCTCCCGCCACGCATGGCGCGGCTTGTTGTTGTTTGGGTTTGAAGTCGTCATGACCTCCCTCCTCGTCTCTCCTCCGACTAATCAAACTTCTTCTCTCGCACCCCTCGCCATCCATACTCATCCCCGCATACTCACGCAGACGTACATACTAACGCAGACCTACTCACTCACGCAGACCTACTCACTCACGCAGACCTACTCACTCACGCAGACCTACTCACTCACGCAGACCTACTCACTCACGCAGACCTACTCACTCACGCAGACCTTACTCACTCACGCAGACCTACTCACTCACGCAGACCTACTCACTCACGCAGACCTACTCACTCACGCAGACCTACTCACTCACGCAGACCTACTCACTCACGCAGACCTACTCACTCACGCAGACCTACTCACTCACGCAGACCTACTCACTCACGCAGACCTACTCACTCACGCAGACTTACTCACTCACGCAGACCTACTCACTCACGCAGACCTACTCACTCACGCAGACCTTCTCACTCACGCAGACTTACTCACTCACGCAGACCTACTCACTCACCTGGACCTACTCACTAACGCAGACCGACTCACTCACGCAAACCGACTCACTCACGCAGACCGACTCACTCACGCAGACCGACTCACTCACGCAGACCGACTCACTCAGGCAGACCTACTCACTCACGCAGACCTACTCACTCACTCAGACCTACTCACTCACGCAGACCTACTCAATCACTCAGACCTACTCACTCACGCAGACCTACTCACTCACGCAGACCGACTCACTCACGCAGACCTACTCACTCACGCAAACCGACTCACTCACGCAGACCGACTCACTCACGCAGACCTACTCACTCACGCAGACCGACTCACTCACGCAGACCGACTCACTCACGCAGACCTACTCACTCACGCAGACCGACTCACTCACTCACGCAGACCGACTCACTCACTCAGACCTACTCACTCACGCAGACCTACTCACTCACGCAGATCTACTCACTCACGCAGACCTACTCACTCACTCAGACCTACTCACTCACGCAGACCGACTCACTCACGCAGACCTACTCACTCACGCAGACCTACTCACTCACGCAGACCTACTCACTCACGCAGACCTACTCACTCCCGCAGACCTACTCACTCCCGCAGACCGACTCACTCACGCAGACCTACTCACTCACGCAGACCGACTCACTCACGCAGACCTACTCACTCACGCAGACCTACTCACTCACGCAGACCTACTCACTCACGCAGACCTACTCACTCACGCAGACCAACTCACTCACGCAGACCTACTCACTCACACAGACCTACTCACTCACCAGGACCTACTCACTCACACAGACCTACTCACTCACACAGACCTACTCACTCACCAGGACCTACTCACTCACACAGACCTACTCACTCACACAGACTTACTCACTCACACAGACCTACTCACTCACGCAGACCTACTCACTCACACAGACCTACTCACTCACACAGACCTACTCACTCACGCAGACCTACTCACTCACTCAGACCTACTCACTCACTCAGACCTTACTCACTCACTACAGACCTACTCACTCACTCAGACCTACTCACTCACGCAGACCTACTCAGCTCACAGCAGACCTACTCACTCACGCAGACCTACTCACTCACGCAGACCTACTCACTCACGCAGACGGACTCACTCACGCAAACCGACTCACTCACGCAGACCGACTCACTCACGCAGACCTACTCAATCACGCAGACCGACTCACTCACGCAGACCGACTCACTCACGCAGACCTACTCACTCACGCAGACCGACTCACTCACACAGACCTACTCACTCACTCAGACCTACTCACTCACGCAGACCTACTCACTCACGCAGATCTACTCACTCACGCAGACCTACTCACTCACTCAGACCTACTCACTCACGCAGACCTACTCACTCACGCAGACCTACTCACTCACGCAGACGGACTCACTCACACAAACCGACTCACTCACGCAGACCGACTCACTCACGCAGACCTACTCAATCACGCAGACCGACTCACTCACGCAGACCGACTCACTCACGCAGACCTACTCACTCACGCAGACCGACTCACTCACGCAGACCTACTCACTCACTCAGACCTACTCACTCACGCAGACCTTCTCACTCACGCAGACCTTCTCACTCACGCAGACCTACTCACTCACCAGGACATACTCACTCACACAGACCTACTCACTCACGCAGACCTACTCACTCACACAAACCTACTCACTCACTCAGACCTACTTACTCACGCAGACCTACTCACTCACTCAGACCTACTCACTCACGCAGACCTACTCACTCACGCAGACCTACTCACTCACGCAGACCTACTCACTCACACAGACCTACTCACTCACCAGGACCTACTCACTCACGCAGACCTACTCACTCACGCAGACCTACTCACTCACGCAGACCTACTCACTCACGCAGACCTACTCACTCACGCAGACCTACTCACTCACACAGACCTACTCACTCACAGACCTACTCACTCACGCAGACCTACTCACTCACACAGACCTACTCACTCACGCAGACCTACTCACTCACGCAGACCTACTCACTCACTCAGACCTACTCACTCACGCAGACCTACTAACTCACGCAGACCTACTCACTCACGCAGACCTACTCACTCACGCAGACCTACTCACTCACGCAGACCTACTCGCTCACACAGACCTACTCGCTCACGCAGACCTACTCGCTCACGCAGACCTACTAACTCACGCAGACCTACTCACTCACGCAGACCTACTAACTCACTCAGACCTACTCACTCACGCAGACCTACTCACTCACTCAGACCTACTCACTCACCAGGACCTACTCACTCACTCAGACCTACTCACTCACTCAGACCTACTCACTCACTCAGACCTACTAACTCACGCAGACCTACTCGCTCACGCAGACCTACTCGCTCACGCAGACCTACTCACTCACGCAGACCTACTCACTCACGCAGACCTACTCACTCACGCAGACCTACTCACTCACACAGAGCTACTCACTCACACAGACCTACTCACTCACGCAGACCGATTCACTCACGCAGACCTACTCACTCACTCAGACCTACTCACTCACGCAGACCTACTCACTCACGCAGACCTACTCACTCACGCAGACCTACTCACTCACTCAGACCTACCCACTCACTCACGCAGACCTACTCACTCACGCAGACCTACTCACTCACACAGACCTACTCACTCACGCAGACCTACTCACTCACACAAACCTACTAACTCACGCAGACCTACTCACTCACACAGACCTACTCACTGACGCACTCTCCTCGTCACTTCCCCTCGCTTCTTCTCATCCCTCCATCCTCTTTGCTCCTCCTCATCCCTTGGTCAAACCTCATCCCTCATCTGTACATCCTCGTCCGTCATCCGCCTTCATCATTATTTCCTCCTCCTACCCATCCCTCCTGACTCCCCGCTCACCCCTCCCCGCTCACCCCTCCCCGCTCACCCCTCCCCGCTCACCCCTCCCCGCTCACCCCTCCCCGCTCACCCCTCCCCGCTCACCCCTCCCCGCTCACCCCTCCCCGCTCACCCCTCCCCGCTCACCCTCCCCCGCTCACCCCCCCCCCGCTCACCCCTCCCCGCTCACCCCTCCCCGCTCACCCTCCCCCGCTCACCCTCCCCGCTCACCCTTCCCCGATCACCCTCCCCGCTCACCCTCCCCGTTCACCCTTCCCCGATCACCCTCCCCGCTCACCCTCCCCCCTCAGCCCCCCACCGCTCTCCCTTCCCCGCTCACCCCTCCCCGCTCACCCTCCCCGCTCACCCTCCCCGCTCACCCCTCCCCCCTCAGCCCCCCACCGCTCACCCTTCCCCGCTCACCCTTCCCCGCTCACCCTCCCCCGCTCGCCTCTCCCCGCTCGCCTCTCCCCGCTCGCCCTTCCCCGCTCGCCCCTCCCCGCTCGCCCCCCCCCCCGCTCACCCCCCCCGCTTAACCCCCCCCTCGCTCACCCCCCCCCCGCTCACCCGCCCCCCCGCTCACCCGCCCCCCCGCTCACCCCCCCCCGCTCACCCCCCCCGCTCACCCCCCCCCGCTCACCCCCCCCCCGCTCACCCCCCCCCCGCTCACCCCCCCTCTCATCCCCCTCCGCTCACCCTTCCTCGCTCATCCCTCCTCGTCGTCGGCCCTGCACCTCCACTCCTCTTCCCTCTCTCTCCATGATCCCGTTCGCCATTTCCTCGGCGAGACGAGTCGCTATTCGCACTCAAAGCCACAGTTGTGGAGAGAACCCGGGGGGATGGGGGCTCACAGAGCCACAGCGCAGAGGGGAGGAGGAGGAGGGGGGCGGTGTGGAAGTAGCGGTGGGGAGACACAACCGCGGGCCGGTGGGGTTACTGGTGGGGTTACTGGTGGGGTTAGCGGCGTCGACCGTCCTCACCTCGTCGGTCCGCTCGCGAGTCGCGCTCTCCGCTCCTCTTTTCTCCGCGCTCGCTCCCTCGCTCGCTCGCTCTCCCGCGTCCACGCGTGGCTGCGCGGCTCCTCCTCCTGCTTCTCCCCCCCACCTCTCTCCCTGCCCCCCCGCAGCGCCACAATAACACGACGCGGATCGACGCAGCGGCAGCGGCGGCGGCAGCCGTGGGGAGGAGCGAGCGCCGCAGTCGCGGCGTCAGCCCCCGATCTGCGGGCGGCGGGGCGGGGCGGGCTGGGGCGGGCTGACGCGGGGCGGGGCGGGGCGGGGCGGGCTGACGCGGGGCGGGGCGGGCTGACGCGGGGCGGGGCGGGGGAGGGGGGGGGGCGGGGGAGGAGGCGGGGCGGGGGAGGGGGCGGGGGAGGGGGCGGGGCACGGGGCGGATGGAGAGGAGGGATGTGGGGGGGGTTAGAGCTCGAAGGAGACGGAGAGAGGTGGGGAGGTTCAGGGAGGAGTCCGGGGGGGAGGAGGGAGGAAGTCCGGGGGGGAGGAGGGAGGAGTCCGGGGGGGGGGGGGGGACGAGTCTGGGGGGGGAGGAGTCCGGGGGGGAGGAGGGAGGAGTCCGGGGGGGGGGGGGGGGGGGGACGAGTCTGGGGGGGAGGAGTCCGGGGGGGAGGAGGAGGAGGGAGGAGGGGGGGGGGAGGAGTCCGGGGGGGAGGAGGGAGGAGTCGGGGGGGAGGAGGGAGGAGTCGGGGGGGGGGGGGGGACGGTCGGGGGGGGGAGGAGTCGGGGGGGGGAGGGAGGAGTCGGGGGGGGGGGGGGGGGGACGAGTCTGGGGGGGAGGAGTCCGGGGGGGAGGAGGGAGGAGGGAGGGTCCGGGGGAGGGAGGAGTCCGGGGGGGGGAGGGAGGAGTCGGGGGGGAGGAGGGAGAGTCGGGGGGGGGGGGGGAGGAGTCGGGGGGGGGAGGAGTCCGGGGGGGGGAGGGAGGAGTCGGGGGGGGGGGGGGGGGGACGGGGGGGGGAGGAGTCGGGGGGGAGGAGGGAGGAGGGAGGAGTCCGGGGGGGGAGGAGTCGGGGGGGAGGAGGAGGAGTCGGGGGGGGGAGGGAGGAGTCCGGGGGGGGGGGGGACGAGTTGGGGGGGGAGGAGTCGGGGGGGAGGAGGGAGGAGGAGGAGGGAGGAGTCCGGGGGAGGAGGAGTCCGGGGGGGAGGGAGGAGGAGTCGGGGGAGGGGGGGGGAGTCGGGGGGGGGGGGGGGGGACGAGTCTGGGGGGGGAGGAGTCCGGGGGGGGGCGGAGGAGGGAGGGAGGAGGGAGGAGTCCGGGGGGGGGGGGGAGTCCGGGGGGGGGGGGGGGACGAGTCTGGGGGGGAGGAGTCCGGGGGGGAGGAGTCCGGGGGGGGGGGACGAGTCGGGGGGGAGTGAGTCCGGGGGGGGGGGGAGGAGTCCGGGGGGGCAGTCCGGGGGGGGGGAGGACGAGTCTGCGGGGGGGGAGGGAGGAAGTCCGGGGGGGGGGGGGGGACGAGTCGGGGGGGGAGGAGTTCCGGGGGGGGGGGGGGACGAGTCCGGGGGGGGGAGGAGTCGGGGGGGGGGAGTCCGGTGGGGGGGGGGGACGAGTCCGGGGGGGGGGGGGAGGAGTCTGGGGGGGGGGGGAGTCCGGGGGGGGACAAGTCCGGGGGGGGAGGAGTCGGGGGGGGGGAGGAGTCCGGGGGGGGGGGGGGAGGAGTCCGGGGGGGAGGAGTCCGGGGGGGGGGAGGACGAGTCTGGGGGGGGAGGAGTCCGGGGGGGGAGGAGTCCGGGGGGGGGGGACGAGTCCGGGGGGGGAGGAGTCCGGGGGGGGGGGGGAGGAGTCCGGGGGGAGTCCGGGGGGGAGTCGGGGGGGGAGGACGAGTCTGGGGGGGGAGGAGGGAGGAGTCCGGGGGGGAGGAGTCCGGGGGGGGGGGGAGTCCGGGGGGGGGGGACGAGTCCGGGGGGGAGGAGTCCGGGGGGGGGGGGGGGAGGAGTCCGGGGGGGAGGAGTCCGGGGGGGGGGGGGAGGACGAGTCTGGAAGGGGAGGAGGGAGGAGTCCGGGGGGGGGGGGGGACGAGTCCGGGGGGGAAAAGTCCGGGGGGGGGACGAGTCCGGGGGGGGGGGAGGACGAGTCCGGGGGGGGAAAAGTCCGGGGGGGGACGAGTCCGGGGGGGGGGAGGACGAGTCTGGGGGGGAGGAGGGAGGAGTCCACAGGGGGGGGGGGGGGGGACGAGTCCGGGGGGGGGGGGGAGTCCGGGTGGGGGGGACGAGTCTGGGGGGGGAGGAGGGAGGAGTCCGGGGGGGGGACGAGTCTGGGGGGGGAGGAGTCCGGGGGGGGGGGGGGGGGGAGGAGTCCGGGGGGGGGGGGGGAGGAGTCCGGGGGGGAGGAGTCCGGGGGGGGGGAGGAGTCCCCGGGGGGGGGGAGGAGTCCGGGGGGGGGGGGGAGGAGTCCGGGGGAGAGGAGTCCGGGGGGGGGGGGAGAGGAGTCCGGGGGGGGGGGGGAGGAGTCCGGGGGGGGGGGGGAGGAGTCCGGGGGGGGGGGGGGGAGTCCCCGGGGGGGGGAGGAGTCCGGGGGGGGGGTAGGAGTCCGGGGGGGAGGAGTCAGGGGGGGGGGACGAGTCTGGGTGGGGGGGGGTCCGGGGGGGGGGGAGCCCGAGGAGGAGGGGGGGGGTACTATAGCGGGAGAGATGGGTTCGGAGACGAGGACACGCACGTCATGGGAACAAACACGAGGCTGAAAAGTGCGCAAAGCAGCAGGGAGAGTCAAATCGAGTTGGGGCTGGGGAGGGCTCGCACCCTCTTGGTCCCCCCACCCCCCAGTTTGCTCGCCGTGAGGACGATGGGTAGGGCTCACGTCTGGGCTGTGCGGCCCCTCGCCCACCCCCGCGGCAAGCTGTGGCTTGTGCCAGCCCGCTTGCTCGCGCTGGGGTTCACAGCGAACACGGACGGTGCGGGGGGCGGGCTGCTGTGACGCGGCACGCACGGGTAGAAAAGCGCACGCGTGCGCTCCCGAGTGTGGATGATGTTGATGATGAAGAATGCACCAGTTGCCGAGCCTGAGATGTGCTACCTGGTTTACAAAGCGTGCAGGACGCTTCGGGCAAGGAAGAGCCATTGTCCGAAACGTCGACTATCATTTGCAGTATATGGAAATATCTCCCGAGTTTTCTCAAGCATCGTTCAATGCAAGACACGTGTTAAACGCGCTCATGTTTGGTTTGTTGGCCGCTTGACGTGTTTGGGCCTTCGCTCAGTACAGTAAATAAATATTAATTTTAGAGCAGTGTTGTTGGATTATTCTCACTACGTCTGCGCTTCCAAGCGGAGTTCGCGTTGCTGCTGAAAATCTAAGAAATTGGGCGCCAATTAACGGGGGAGGAGGCTGCCGATTCTTCTGGCTCAGACACGTGGCCATCGCGTTGGTGGCGGCAGCAGCAAGATGGACTGGAGGACGCCAATGTCGAGGCCTGCCGCTCGTTACGACGGGAGGGCTTCAGGAGTTCGCGTCGTTCTGCTGTTCCTCCTCAGTTGAAGGCGCGCAGATTACAGTGGTGTAAGGAATGGCGCAGTTCGGATTTCATGACAATCTCGATGTATCTACGTATGTTTACTGTACCGCCCATAGTTTGTCTTGCGTGGCCACAATCGCACCGCAGTGGCTTGCGTCTTTAATTTTCCACGAACGAGGCAAGTAAAATGGAAAAAAAAGGAAACGTGCGCAAATACGCAAGAGATACGCGACTGAAATGACCGTGCACCGCAACACGCAGACAGGAGCGCGTCACTGGCACCGTAGGGCCAGCAGCACGCGTCATACCTAACAGGGACGATGGTCAAGATTTATAACAGGAGGGGCAGCCAAGGGATTCAACACGTCCCCGAAGTACGTCCACCTCGGAGATGGAGCGATGAAGTGAGCTCGTGCGTAGACTATATTGTTGATAAAACTCATCCAGCAGTGGCTTGACCACGGCTCGTGACGGTGATCGGAGGATCATCTCGAAGCACGTGGGGCCATGTGAAGGGCCCCGCCCCTTCACCCGGGTGCCCCACGTGACCACAGCGCCGGGGGGATTCCCCCGCACGGAACGTACCAAGAATCGCGCCCACGGGGGGGGGGGAAGGCGGTGCAATCAACTTTGTAACGCCCTCCACATTTTAAACATCAACCTTTTCTAAAAGACCTCCTCCCACATTTTTTTCTGAGATCTACCTCCCTTGATAAACACCGCGTCCATTAGGCGGGCGGAAACAGAAAACGAAATATTCCGACCACCCCCACCCAAAAAACATAGTCTCTTCCAGACCCGCCCCCTTTCACCAGTGCCCGTGTTTGACGTCACACCACGGCCGCCCAATGGCATGCGTCGATGTTGGCGCGCGCGCCATCTCGCCCAGTATCGCGCGCTCCTAATGGCCGAGTAGCGCGCGCCAGGGGCGGAGCCGAACGCGGGCGAGTCCGTGGAAGGCGGAGCTCCGGTCAGGGGGCGGGGCTCGCGGGGCGCAGGAATGGGGGAGAGGGGTGAGGGGCGGGGCTCGCGTGAAGATGGCGGGAAGTGACGCTCCCTTGCTGAGGCTTCCCCCGGAGCTGCTGGTTCACGTCGTGGCGCTGCTGCCCGGCCGCTGCCTCCCCGCCGTGGCGGCTTCGTGCCGCGCGCTGCGCCGCGTTGCCTTAACCGACTCCGTGTGGCGCCGCCGCTGCGAGGAAGGTAGCGGAGACAACCCCGCCCCTCACACCCCATTCCCCCCCCCCCCACTCGCTCTCATCTCCATTAGCCCCGCCCCTCAGCCCCGCTCAGCACGAATCGGACGAGACCATTAAATCTCGAGGGATGTTAGTGAGACCATTCGCACTCGACTCTAAAAGTAAATGTCATTCTACGCCCCCCCTGCTTGTGAATGGTCTCGCCTGCTTCCCTTCCAGAGTCTGCGGGAGATGTTGCCGCGAGTTCATTGACGCAGGAAGTGGGTGAGGGGCGAGAGCATTCCCTCTGGAGGGGGGGGGGTGTTCGTGTTGACTTGAGATGACAAGTGGGTGAGACCATTCCCTCTGGAGGGGGGGGGGGGGTGTTCGTGTTGACTGGAGATGACAAGTGGGTGAGACAATTCCCTCTGGAGGGGGGGGGGTGTTCGTGTTGACTTGAGATGACAAGTGGGTGAGACCATTCCCTCTGGAGGGGGTGTTCGTGTTGACTTGAGATGACAAGTGGGTGAGACCATTCCCTCTGGAGGGGGGGGGGGGTGTTCGTGTTGACTGGAGATGACAAGGGGTGAGACATTCCCTCTGGGGGGGGGGGGTGTTCGTGTTGACTTGAGATGACAAGTGGGTGAGACCATTCCCTCGGAGGGGGTGTTCGTGTTGATTGAGATGACAAGTGGGTGAGACCATTCCCTCTGGGGGGGGGGGGGGGGTGTTCGTGTTGACTGGAGATGACAAGTGGGTGAGACAATTCCCTCTGGAGGGGGGGGGGGTTCGTGTTGACTTGAGATGACAAGTGGGTGAGACCATTCCCTCTGGAGGGGGTGTTGTGTGATTGAGATGACAAGTGGGTGAGACCATTCCCTCTGGAGGGGGGGGGGTGTTCGTGTTAACTTGAGATGACGTGGGTGAGACATTCCTCTGGAGGGGGGGGGGGTGTTCGTGTTGACTTGAGATGACAAGTGGGTGAGACCACCTCTGGAGGGGGTGTCGTGTTGACTTGAGATGCAAGTGGGTGAGACCATTCCCTCTGGGGGGGGGGGGGGGTGTTCGTGTTGACTGGAGATGACAAGTGGGTGAGACAATTCCCTCTGGAGGGGGGGGGGTGTTCGTGTTGACTTCAGATGACAAGTGGGTGAGACCATTCCCTCTGGAGGGGGTGTTCGTGTTGACTTGAGATGACAAGTGGGTGAGACCATTCCCTCTGGAGGGGGGGGGGTGTTCGTGTTAACTTGAGATGACAAGTGGGTGAGACCATTCCCTCTGGAGGGGGGGGGGTGTTCGTGTTGACTTGAGATGACAAGTGGGTGAGACCATTCCCTCTGGAGGGGGTGTTCGTGTTGACTTGAGATGACAAGTGGGTGAGACCATTCCCTCTGGAGGGGGGGGGGGGTGTTCGTGTTGACTGGAGATGACAAGTGGGTGAGACCATTCCCTCTGGAGGGGGGGGGGTGTTCGTGTTGACTTGAGATGACAAGTGGGTGAGACCATTCCCTCTGGAGGGGGGGGGGGTGTTCGTGTTGACTTGAGATGACAAGTGGGTGAGACCATTCCCTCTGGAGGGGGGGGGGGGTGTTCGTGTTGACTTGAGATGACAAGTGGGTGAGACCATTCCCTCTGGAGGGGGGGGGGTGTTCGTGTTGACTTGAGATGACAAGTGGGTGAGACCATTCCCTCTGGAGGGGGGGGGGGGTGTTCGTGTTGACTTCAGTGACAAGTGGGTGAGACCATTCCTTCTGGAGGGGGTGTTCGTGTTGACTTGAGATGACAAGTGGGTGAGACCATTCCCTCTGGAGGGGGGGGGGTGTTCGTGTGACTTGAGATGACAAGTGGGTGAGACCATTCCCTCTGGAGGGAGGGGGGTGTTCGTATTGACTGGAGGTGACAAGTGGGTGAGACCATTCCCTCTGGAGGGGGGGGGGGTGTTGACTGGAGATGACAAGTGGGTGAGACCATTCCCTCTGGAGGGGGGGGGGGGGGTGTTGACTGGAGGTGACAAGTGGGTGAGACCATTCCCTCTGGAGGGGGGGGGGTGTTCGTGTTGACTGGAGGTGACAAGTGGGTGAGACCATTCCCTCTGGAGGGGGGGGGGGTGTTGACTGGAGGTGACAAGTGGGTGAGACCATTCCCTCTGGAGGGGGGGGGGGGTGTTGACTGGAGGTGACAAGTGGGCGAGACCGTCGTCATTGTGTACAGTACAGGAATGGATCCAAACCCTTGGGTTGGAACAGCGTCACTGAGATTTCAGGAATAAAGTTCATAAAACATCATACCGTGATGATTCATAATGTTTATTCTGGGTTAGGGGCCGTCCATAAATGACGTCACGCGATTTGACCCCACCCCCCCTCGTCACACGGCGTCAATAAAAAGTCAGACCCCCTCAAACATGACGTCACAAAGCTCTGCCCCCCCCCCCAAATAAAACATGCTTCAAATTGCTTTAAACTATTGTCATTGTAGTGCGCATTTAATGTGGCGCTGCACTCTGATGTTGTAGGAGAAAACATTAAAAAGTCTATTTAATGAAGTAGAACGTGTTGTCTATATTTATTTAAAGTTGCGCATTTTGATGTGACGTCACATTTCTCACCCCCTCCCCTCGTCACACATCGTCACAAATGTCTAACCCCCCCCCCCCCCAAGGTGCGTGACGTCATTTATGGACGGCCCTTTAGATCGTGTGGGTTTTGCGATTTTCAAGTGTTACCCTCCGCCACCCGACACGGCCAATCAAATGAAGTTGGATTGTGGCAGGCAAAGATGCAAATCGAACAATTTGTATGTCATGGAAAGATCGATGTAGAGTAATGCCGTTGTGTGAGATTAAGCTGCTACTTGAGTTAACTCTGGTCGTTCTTGCGACGCTGTTTGTTAAGCTCAATGGGCCTTACCAGATGAAATTACTGTATTGAGTCACAAGTGGTGGAATTAACATTTAAATGATAATTCGACTCTTCTAGATTTGAAGTTTTCGTGACTGCAAGGATCCATCCTCTTTGGTTTTTTCGGTAAAGTCACGTAGGTAAAAAACAGAATAAAATAAATTAAAATTAAAACAACTAAATTAGAACAAATCACGACGTTTCGAAGGCAACACAAGCCTCCGTCATCAGGTGGCTGCTCCATCAAAATCACTGTAGCGTATGAAGCGAGCTATTTCTGAGACGCATGATAATTAGATTGCCCTCATAAAGCATAATATACAAAGCCACCGAGATATAGCGAGACAATGACAGAGACCCGTAAGAGCTGGATATGTGTGTATGTTGAACTTCTTCGCTCCGTACGTAGCCAAGCGTGCTAATGGGAGGTGCGGGGGGGGGACAACAGACTAAACACACAACATCGGTATGAAGAAAGATGCACCAGAGATTGACAACACGTTGGAGTCTCCTAACGCCGACATGTAACTGCATCTCAAGACGTTGCACAAGAAAGAGGGCACGTTTTTTTTGCAGCCAGGGGGCAGCCGGTCGCAGGGGTACAAGGGAAGTCTCGAGGCTGACTTGGGCAGAGAGTGTGTTTCGGTGCAGGGAGTCCTCTACTTACGAACGAGTTAGGTTCCAGAGGTCTGTTCGTAAGTCGATTTCTTCGTAAGGGGCCGTCTATAAATGACTTCATGCAATTTTGGACGATTTTTGACCCCCCCCCCCCCTCTTCACATGGCGTCACAAAGAGTCAGACCCCCCCCCCCTCAAATATGACGTCACAAAGCTCTGCCACCCCCCCCCCCATCTCAAAACCATATTTCCATTTAAGAAAATATAACATGCTTAAAATCGCTTTAAACTATTGTCATTGTAGTGCGTATTTAATGTGGCGCTGCACTCTGATGTCGTAGGAGAAAACATGTATTAAAAAGTCTATTTTTAATTAAGTAGAACGTGTTGTCTATATTTATTTTAAGTTGCGCATTTTGATGTGACGTCACATTTATCACCCCCCCCCCTCGTCACACATCGTCACAAATGTCTGACCCCCCTCCCCCCAGGTGCGTGATGTCATTTATGGACGGCCCCTAAGTCCAACTTTACTCCTGTCGATTCCAAACACGTTGTACGGCATGTACACTGAACACGGGGAATGGCGTTAAAGGTTGTATAATCTCCTGTAGACGTAGATGCCACTGGTTCTTCACGTTCTGCAGATGTAGACGCCGCCACATATTGCGCGGTGGTTAAACTTACGACTCTCAGTCCGAACAGGCAACTGGACATTTGGACAGGTTTGTTCGTATCTCTGAAAGTTCGTAAGTAGAATGTCTGTAGGCAGAGGAGTCCCCTGTAGTTGCGTGCGTGTGTCGTTGGGTTCACTGTGAATGTAGCTGTGCGTGGCCTGTGGGCGGTGCAACTCGTCAGATTTAGTTCCCTGCACCTAGCAACACTCATGCAAGGAGTTAACACGATGTCTAAAGGCCGCACTCCTCACACACAAAGTGCTTGCCACAAATAAGCCACAAATAAACCACAATAGCTTGCTCATCTCGTCAGGGAGCATAAACCGCCACGCAAACTCCGGTTATCCTCACGGCGGCTTTTGGCTAAACGTCGAACAAAGACGGTCACCGCATCGCGTGCTTTCAGGTGCGCTTCTTCGGCCGTCTGGAACGCTCTCCCGATATTCGGAAGCCACTGGCGCTATGCACTTCTAAATCTTGATATAAAACATTTCTTTAGAACTGATTTTTGTGTTTTGTTTGTAATCCTTGTATGTATGTTGAACGTCTTTCGCACCGTACATATGCAACCAATTAGCGCGGTCCACACCATATCGTGCGAAAGAATTTCAACATACATACAAATAGTCGCGCTTTTACTGCCACTAACGAATGGAAAAGCTGATGTTTTGGAAGACCGGCCTTCAGCCGTCGGACAACATTTTCCATTGAGTGGGTTCCTTTCCCAAGGTAGCCCGGTCGATCGAAATGCGTCAATCTGTGTTCTCTCTCGGTGGCGCTGAAAACCCTGTGTTGTTATTTTCAATTTAATCTACAACATTTTGGCCACTTGACGCTTTGGGCCTCTGGGGCCGTGCTGAGCGACTCTTGTTTTAAAGTAAATACACTAAAGGGGTATTATCTTTCGTGATAATGCTGTCAATGGCGTAGGTTCTTATTCTTATTGTTTCCAAATAAACAAAGTTCCGCTCTGCTCAGTTTGCACTGTCAAGTGACACGGTCTGTTGTGAAACGATGGATCGCACAAGAATTGTCACACTCCGCCTATGGTGCGAATCAGTGAGTTGTCACGATTTAAAGATTTGTTTAATGTTACATTTTGAATATAGCGGCCTCTAGTGGCGGGGGACGGTTCATGTAAAACCATTACAACATACGCAACGAAAAACATTGACGTTTACGCGTCCAAATCTATGCCAATTTCGGAAAAAAAATTACAATTGGATGTTAGCCAACGGATCACTACACGCTTGAACCACAAAACCTGGGTGGAGTGCAGTGGAGCAGCTGAACCGCTGTAGCACAAGCTGTCGAACTATCTGCATCATGAGCTGCACTAGCCACGAAAGAAGAGCCAGCGGTAGACAATCCAGTTGTAGTGAGGTCACCGACTGTGCCGCCGGCTGTAGCGCCAGCCGCCGTCCCACCGGCACGTTGTGCCGCCTGTGACAGAGTACGGTGTGCAAGAGGACCTGCACGCCATGGAGGCGACGGGGATGGCGTTCCGCGACCTCTACATCAAACGTGGGTGATCTCACGCACTCACACGCTGCGCCTCGCTCACTCCCACACCGAGCCCCTCGTCACTCACTCCCGGACCGCTTCCTGCTCCCTCACTGACCCGTACACTCTGCTCCTCACTCCGTTCACGGACATACGGTGCCCGCTGCAAGCGCTCTCACTCAGCCCTCCTCACTCGCTGTCGCTCGCTGTCCCCCTCCTCACTCACTCCCAGACCATCCTTTACTCATGCCCACACGCCGCCGCGTTCACTCTTGCCCGCTGCACCTCACGCCCACGCCCTGCCCACATGAACACACATCTGCTGTCCACATGAACACACATCTGCTGCACACATGAACACACATCTGCTGCCCACATGGTCGCAGAGCGGCGGCGTGGTTGATGGCGTGGGTCGCGGTGACCGCCTGGCTCCCGCACGGCGGCATGGACAGCAGTCGTCTGTTCGCACCTCCAGTGCCGGAACCGCAAATCCGAGCATTCGCTTTGACACTGCAGTCTCCTCTGTTATTGTAGAAATATGAAAATAGAAAACTACCAAAAATACGAAATAAATAAGCAGGCATTTCACCTGATTCACATATCTGGTGCCATGGTGGAGAGATGTGAACTACCTTGCTTGGTATACAAGAGATTGTGGGTTCGATCCCGACCCTCGTGCCTGTATATTTGGAGTTTGTATGTTCTCCCCGTGGTCGTGTGAATTTTTCTCCGGGTCCTCCGGTTTTTCCCTGCACATTTAGAATCAACATCACACGTTTAGAGTAATTGGCTGCTATCATTTTTCACATAATAAGCCACTTCGTTGAGCTATCTTTGTGGCCAGGTCACTTCTGAAAAAGAGCTATACAGCTCTGTGGGCCTTACCTGGTATAAAAATATAAATAGTTTTGGGTGGATGCTTCTACGGTTACACAATCTGAAGCACTTAGCTATTCACAATAGAGATCGTTACTCTCCACAAAGGTGACCCCTTGTGTGAGCGTGAATAGGGGAGGGTTGCCCTGTGCAAACATGGACGTTGCTGGAGCGGAGTGCGTGCATCTCTGTGTGCGTGTCGCAAATGCACGATGCCCCCATTGTGTCCTTGGTTATTTTCCCAACGCTCGCAGCCAGACTAAATCCCGACTAAATCAACGCTCCCGAATATTTCGGCCCATCACAAAGTATTCCGAGCAAATAAGTTGTTTTCTCATCGTGACCATTCCAAAACCATCCTGCTGCGATTCGCCGTGGAGACGGAGACCGATTGTCATTCGTGTCACAGCATCCGCGTGCAGTGCATACAGCACGTGTGCAGTGCATACAGCACGTGTGCAGTGCATACAGCACGTGTGCAGTGCATACAGCACGTGTGCAGGCCGTGCAACTATTCAGGATTCTATGCCCCAGGAGGGCCAAGACGCCGAGCTAAAAAGGAGGGGGGATTGTACAGGGTGGAGGGGAAGTGGGGAGAATTTAATTCCGATTACCACCGCCCGTGCCAACCACGCCATGCCGCTGCGTTCACGGCACTTGCGACCGTTCCAGAGTTTGGTGGACGAGCGTTTGGGGGCTAACGCGGGAAGACACTCGGGCAGGGCGTAAACACAACGCAACGCGTAATTACATCGCAAGCAGATTGCAGGGCGAACCTGGAACTCGAGACGCCTGCCGCTCCGCTCTGAAAGGGCTCCCGTCTGCCACGCCGAGTCGCCGAGCCTCCTCCACAGCAGAGACACCGAGACGGCTGTTCGCCTCCACGCGTCGCTCGGGTCGCACATGGATTGCTGCCGTCTTGCTGTTTTTGCCCACCACGTAGGTGTAAACCCCAGAGTCAAGTCAGGGAAGTACATGAAACTGCTCCCAGAGTACGAAAACATGGCCTACAGGGATGTCTATGTGCATTGTAGGTATCCGTGTGCTTTCTACTCCCCACGCATGCCCCCACCTCCTTGCGTGCGCGCGTGTGTCTGCCTGTGCGGAGGGGGCGGTGGCGCAGTGGTTAGCGCGCTGTGCTACGAACCCGAGTTCGATTCTCGCTCACGGCCATCATCATTGATGAAAATGTGGCCTGGTCTTGGGCTCTCCCCTAGGTCGCATTAAGTGAGTACGCGGTGCGGTGTGTAAACATCAGCACTGCGGATACCAAGGTGGCCAGGCGTGGTGCTGGCCACCCACTGGTCTTAATAGGTGCTCACTAATAGCACTTGCTCCAACGGTGCGTTGTAGGCTATATTTGGGGATCTTTTGCTTTGTGTGCAGTGCCGTATGCTTTGTTTTCCACCGACACAGCTCCGCTCGCCCCATGCATGATGGACCCTTTGGCCGCCGCCTAACACTCCCTGCCAAAGCATTTCCCTTGCTGCTTCCCTTGCTGCTTCCCTGCTCGGCCATTCCAGCCACTGGTGGGTTGGGAATGAGTCAGGAGCGGTCGTGCAGCACGCGTGTTAGAGATGCCTGCATTGTCTTTAGATTTACCATCACACGCGAGAAATCATCCAGTCGATAAAGTGAGCACCGCTTTGTGGAAACGTTAACAATGGTTGTCATAGGAACGTGGAACTTCCACCACTGGCTCGGGGCTGTGAATGGGAGATGAGCACCAGTGCTAATTTGAGCAGGAAATCGTTCTGACTTTTGGCCAGAAATAATATTAACTGCGGTGCATATGTGTACTTTATTTTTAAACAAACTGAATATGTGCCAGGACCCTCCTGAAACAGTGTCCTGCGACTCAGTGCGGCTCTCCTGGATAAATGAGTAAATTATAAGTGCAATACATGTTAAGGATGTATTCTCATGTCGGTAGGAAATGGCTTCAACGTTGGCATGGGCACACGTGGCTGATACTTGCCGTTCGAAAAATGTGTTGACGGTTGCAGGAGCCGCGTCCAATTAATGCATTCCTCTCCGCGGCCGCACCTCACAGGCGCACGCTGCCACCACCACCACCTCCATCGCCGCCGCCGCCGCTGCTGCTGCTGCTTTGTTTGCGCGCGCACAGCCGCAGCAGCGGCTCCTCGTTAGGCGCTCGTACACAAACACGAGCTCGCTCCCCGCCCCGCGTCTGCATTCATCTCTCCCCGCATGTCCCCCCCTCCCCCCCCCCCGTGCAAAGAGCGGCCCGTGGCGCGACAGTGTCCCTCCCATTAGGGGACGCCTCAAAAAAAATTATCCCCCCCCACGTCCCAGCCGCCACTGTGGTCTCTTGCGCAGACGCTTTTGTTGTGGAGTGGTGCTGAGTCGTGGCCGGGTGAGTCACCCTGCCGGCTCCCTGCTGTTTCCCATTAGTTTGCCTCTGGAGTCTGCAGGGGACCCGGAAGCAGCCCCCATCTGTCCCCTACCACCCCCCCAACCCACCCCCCCATCCCACCCCTACCCACCCCACCCCTACCCACCCCTACCCACCCCACCCCTACCCACCCCACCCACACCAAATTCCCTCGGCCAGGGCCACCTCGTCTCGAGAAGCCTCCGAGCACCGGTGCCCAGCTGTTTGTAGCCACCCTGTTAACCACCACAGCCCCGGCCTTCACACCTCAATCAAACGAGGCGTGTTATTGTTAGAATATAAAGGGGATGCATGTTTTTCTTTTGTGACTGCAGAAAGGCCTCTGCTCGTCCACAGGACGTGGCGCCCCAGCAGGTGGCCTGCAGTGCTGCCCATTGTTGTGGGTTGGGGGACCTGTACGTCAGCTCACAGGAGCTCAGTGACCCTTGGCAAACGGCGTCATCCGCCCCCACCCTCTCCTACCGTTGCACACACATGAGCAAGACGGTGGGTGGGATTAGTGCTAATTTAGAAGGACTGAAGAGAACAAAAAGCAAGGGAATCTGAAAGCCAGGCTGGAGACTGTAGCCCTGGCAGACACTGCGGAAGCCTAACGTGGCCTTGGGTGACTACATTGTGAGCCGTCGTCTAGAACTAGCTTCGCCACCTTCCCCATCGCAGACCCAACGAACCCAGTCCGTCCTTTCTCAGTCAGCCGAGGTCTGTTATCAAAACTGCGCAGTTTACTGCAATAAAGTTCAACACAGCAAAATACCACTACCAGGTTTCAGTACAGGTCAATTCCTGCTGCCAAACACAAACTACAGGCACCAAATCCTTAACCGTCTGGGTCAAACCCGGACTGTCCGGAACAGGTGGCTAACCCTGTTTAAGGCGGCATAAAGTTCGTAACTTTTAGGCGCTACAGGTTGCAGCGCCGCAGTATAAAGTAAAGTGTGCGGCCCGATGCGCCGACGTCCCCACGGCCCCTGGAAAGTCGGCCAGCAGCAGCTAAGCAGCATTCCTCACGTCACATTCGTGCGTTTAGCAGGGCCCCATCCGTCTACTCACGCCGCACTTGCTGTGGGGATCGAACCCTTCTCTTCCCCCCGTGCCGAGCTCACCGGACGTGGCTTCGCTTCGCCACTCGGCGGTGTCTGCGGTGTCGCTCACACGCCGTTCGTTACTCTTTTTAAATTCAAAATGTTAACTACCTCACCTGGTATACAGGAGGTCGTGGGTTCGATCCCGATCCTGACCCCTGTATATTTGGAGTTTGCGTGTGTCTCTCTCTCTCCCTGTGGTCGCGTTATTTTTCTCCGGGTCCTCCGGTTTTTCCCTCCACACGCGTTTAGAGTATTTGGTTGCCAGAAATTACCACGCGATAAGTCACTTCGTTCAGATATCATTTGCGGGCAGGTCGCTTATGAAAGACCCATATAGCTCAGTGGGCCTTACCTGGTAAAATAATAAAAGTTAATAGTTTAGTTTTACATTGTGCTTGTTCAATCGGCGAGGTGTCGCCGAGTCTCAAGACCAGGATTGTCACCTCATCCACTGTTGACCATACCTGGAAGCATTGCTCAGTTAGCACCACGTCAATGAAATGCCACTGTATATCTGCAATGCCCAAGCTCTCTGCCCCACCCTACATCTCTACAATGCCACTACATCTCTACAATGCCACCACATATCTACAATGCCAGTACATCTCTACAATGCCACTACATCTCTACAATGCCACGAGGTCTCTGCAATGGCACTAGATCTCTGCACTAGTCAACTCCTGACACCCAAACACATTCAGCAATTCCCGGCCTGTCCAGGTGGAATCCAGACAGGTGGCAACCCGAGTCTCAAGACGTTTTCAGGAGGGTCCTGCTCAGCTTTTTGGCAGTGGGGGGGGGCAGGCGGCCCCATTGCTGTGTGTTTTGCTAGTCAAGGTACTTTGCGAGTAATTTGTGGGCGCTGTGTGTGGTGCACGTGTGCAGTGCTGCACCCCTACCGACACATCCTGGGGCTCTGGCAGCCGCTGATCGGCCCCTACGGTGGCCTCCTCAACGTGGTGGTAAGGGAGCAGGCGGGCGGCCAGGCGGGCGAGGGCAGACAGACACAAAGACTCCCCATGTAGCCACGCTCAGTCACCTTTGTCTCCCCAATATTTATTATAAATACTGTTACAGGTATTCGACCTAGGGGAGGCCCAGGATCAGTTCAAATATTCGCCACTGTTGTTGGTCAAGAGCGGGAATCGAACTCACCGGGCTCATAGTGCAGTGCGATAAACACTACACTAGTGCTCACCACAAAGATCCCACCCTCTAACCTTAACAGACTTTTGGGGCAAGCGTTGTTCGCGAGCACCTAAAAATGCCGGCATGGTACATGAGGTGGTGGGTGGCCAGCACCACGCCCGACCGCCTTTATCTCCCCACCGACGATGTTTATACACCGCACCAAGTACTCATTTTAGAATGAGTCGCCCTAGGGGAGGCCCAGGCCGTGAGCGGGGATCGAACTCGGGTTACCGGGTTCGTAGCGCACTAACCGCTGCCCCACCGCTCCCCACAGGCTCTAAGCTCCCCACACACACGCACGCACACAGTGCACGTACACACTCAGTTAATAATCCAGTGACCGCGATTCAGCCTCCGTTGAGGTGGTGGGGCTGTTGCTTGCGGGCGCTGACCAGCAGGAGCCTAATGATGCATCATTGATCCTTCGATTAAAGTTCACGCGTGTGAGAATCTGTTCCTGTCAATACCTTTATGTCCTACTCGTTGAACGGTGGCGCAGTGGTTGGCGAGCTGCACGCTGAACCGAGCGACCCGAGTTTAGTTTCCGGCCACGGCGAACGTCGCTTCCCAGTGAGTTTAGAACCATCGTGACACCACCCCAACCCCCACCCCACCCATCAGCCCGTGCTAACCAGTATGGGGGGGGCCTTCATCCAGCAGTGGCGATTGACAGGGTTTCGCTGTACGTGTCATTGGTTCACTGCAGCCACTAGAGGCACTACGTTAACCACGATGATTAAAGACAAAAATCAAACCGTGACCCGAGGCGTTGACGGGGCTCAGCGGTAGCGCACTCGCCGCATGTGACGGAGGTTCGAGGTTCACATCTGGCAGGCCGTCCTGGTTAACGCCGCGGTGTGTTTCACAGTGGATATCCCGTGACGTCATTAGAAGAAGAGGTAGGGCATTGTGTCGCGGCGCCGCGGTCCACATTTGTCAAATTTGAAACATTTCATAATGGAAGATAACGTGTAGCAATCACCAGCCGCTACTGTGAAGACTTAGCATGGTGAACCCAGGGTCTAGAGACTCAGAATCAGAATCTTTATTCCGACTGGAGGGATCCAATGGGCTATGAAGCTATTTTTCACAAGTCACGAGCGAGGCTCTCCCGGGTCAACAAGCGTAGTTATAAAAATTATATTGAGAATTTCGGCAATTCACCGAATCGCAACGGTGGGCGGGCGGCACGTCCGAAGTGTAACAGGCACACATCCCTGCCGGCTTCCCGCACGCTCACAGCCCCCCCCCCCCCCCCCCCACTCTGCCGCCCCCGCCGCTACTGGCGCCAGGTGGATGGGCTGTTCATCTTTGGCTGGATGTACCTGCCGCCGCACGACCCGTGCGTGCGCGACCCCATGCGGCGCAAGCCCTTGTTTCGCGTGCACCTCTGGGAGCGCCACCGCACGGAGGTGGAGTGCATGTACGGCCACAGCGGCCCCCACCGCGGGCACATCCGGGTACGTCGCCGCGTCGCACCGCCGGGGCTACCGCGCGACGCCGACACCGGCTCCCGGGTTGTCGGATGCACGACACACGCTGGGCCATGAATCCGACGACACGGGCTCGATCCCTAACCGCAGCTACCGTAAGTGGCGAGCGATGCCGAAACGGTGCCCTGGGACTCTCCCTTCACTGATCAGCACTCGTCGAGCACGGTGAAGTATGGCTAAGCGCCCCCGTGATGGACGCAGCATAAGGAGGCCTTCATCCAGCAGTGGATTGGCAACGGCCCGTGGGTTAGTATCCATGCGCGTATAGATACTGCGCCGATTTCTGAAGGCCCTCTTGAGTTCCTATCGACAGGTGATTGAATGGTGCGAATGCGATGGCTCCGTCTCTACAAGTGCATTACCCTGTGCATAGTAACCACGAGGTTGTGTGAGCAATAATGAAAAACGTTATCCCTGTACGGCGCGATGGAGACCACGGATTTTCAGCGGGGTCAGGGTTAGCCGTCCCAGCGGGCAAACTGGACAGGGCACGTGCGGGTGCATCCATTCGGTTACATTAAGATTCGTGAGGTCACGATGTGCACCTCGAATAGCGAGGACATTGTATACGATGGGATCGCATGATCCCCGTGGCCACTAGAGGTGCTCTGTCTACCACTGTGCGTGTAGAAACAAAGAAATATATTCTTTGGAGTCTATAGTGACTAGTGGTCGCAATGGGCCGTTGTACGAAGATGTGCCAAACCGGCAGTTCTCAGAACACCCAGACATGCACACGGGATGCGTGCAACGGTTCCCAATCCTATACCACGATGTTTCCGCAGAAAGGAAACGGCAGTGAACATGGGCTGCCGAACGAAAAGGTTTCATGCTGGCACTTCCACATTCGCATTTCCACCACTGATGGACAGTTCGTCGAATCGTCCGTGGACCAAGCGGCGCTTGCCTAATGAACGCTGCCGTGTGTGTGCGATGACCACAGGTTCACAAAAAGGATGAATTTTCCACCAAGTGCATCCAGACCGACTTCCACCGAATGTCAGGCGGCCGGCAAGAGGTGGGGATCTTGCAGTCCTGCGCACTTGCCAACACTAACTACTGACCACCACCACTGCCGCCACCCCCCCACAAGACCACAATTAACTCTTCCCCCCCCCGCCACCGCGCGATGTTGGTTTGCCCCCCCCCCCCACCACAGGAGTTCCGCACGTGGCTGCAGGACGAGTGGGGGAAGACGCTAGAGGAGATCTTCATCGAGCACACGCAGGAGCTCATCCTCATGAAGTTCATCTACACCAGCCAGTACGAGTGAGTGAGGGCATGGAGGGTGCACACAGCCGGTACGAGTGAGGGGACGGAGGGTGCATATGCGTGCACACAAGCGCGCCTGACTACAGCTGGCACGAGGAGGTCGCGCACGCGTGATCGCTGGACGACCTATCACACAGTGACCACGCTGGCACGGTTACTGCTCAAACACGATGCTCTCGTGGCCGCGCACGCACCGCGGCCACGCGCGCACCAGGACCATCCACGCACGACAACACGCACAACGAGCGCGCACATACGATCGCGACGCAACGCACGGCGGCACTGCGCTCGCTGATCGCACGCGAGATGAGTGCTCTCGCACAATGACCACGCACGCGATGAACACTCCCACACGACGCATGAAGCCAGATGCCGACTAAACTATCCGATTGTTGCCACTCATGCAGTTAGATCGGTCACAAACCTGGGGCCCACGGGCTATGCTGCACGTTGAGAAGGAGGTTGCTGCCAGAGATGAGCCGGCAGAGCAATTATAAATGTGTTTGTTGGTTTTCCCCGCAGCAACTGTCTCACGTACAAGCGAATCTTCCTGCCTCCGGAGCGACCCGACTCGCCGCTGCCGCCCGGCCTCTTCAAGGGCGCCTACGGGAGCCACGGCCTGGAGATCGTCATGCTGAGCGTGTGCGGGCGGCGTGCGCGCGTTACCAAGATCACGGTGAGCGGCGGCGTGGCGGAGCGCCCGGGCCTCCAGACGCGACAAGAGGTCTCCTCCTCCTTAGAAGGAGGAGGAGGAGGCGTAGAGGGGAGGAAATGGAGCGGTTGGTGTGGGCGAGTCCGTGGAGGATCTCGAAGCCACCGAGTGCAATCTTGTAATTGACCGGGGATCGGACGGCCGTGCCTGCGTAGTCCACGCCTCTCCTCCGCCTTTGTCCAAATCGGCACGGAACCCGCGTGTGTGCCCCCCCCCCCCCTCACCTCTGTCCCCCCCAGGGCGACCCCAACGTGCCGGCCGGCCAGCTCACGCTTGATGTCGACCTGTCCCTCCCGCTGGCGCTGAGCAGCCTCGAGCAGCAGTCCAACATGGAGGAGCTGTCTCGCATCGTCAACTCCATCTGGGAGAGGGAGCGCGAGAGGGAGGCAGCGGCCGGTGAGCGCAGACCGGCGGCGGGCAGAGGGGAGGCAGAGCCCGAGGGAGCAGGACGAGGAGAAGGAGACTTGCCTGAAGAGGAGGAGGGTGGTGGTGATGCGGCGGAGGTTGCGGAGGGCGGTGGAGATGCTCGGCCTAGTGGCGATGGGAGCGTCCACGCCGGCCGGGGTTCCCGGCCACGACCGTGCCCAGCGTCTCCGCGGCAGCAGCAGCGGCGGCAGGAGGAGGAGCGGCCGCAGGACCCCGTGGCGCAGAGTGGGCCGTCGCGGCGAGGTGCCGAGACACGCCGCGCATGGGAGCGACCCCGCCCGATCACGTAGAGCGCCAGGCCACGTTTCCCGTGTTCAGCTGCGCCGCGTTCAAGCGATTACACCGCATAGCACTGACAGGGCGGCACCGCCCTTTTCCAAGAGTCAGAATCAGAATATTACGTTCTCAAAAACGACCTGGCCACAAACGATGGCTCAACGAAGTGGCTTAGCAGGTGACTCCAGGTTTGGGTGAATCGCCCTCCTCCTGTTGGGCCTCTCTTGAAGTAGCACCGCAGCCACACCGCACCTTGCAGCCATTCCCCACGGAGACAAGAATCACTTCAAATTCTGCATTTTCGACGCGAACCGTAAAATAATCACCAGATTCTAAATGCTATACCTCTGCTATCGTATTTTAGACTCGTTGTTCATAACCCGATTCGTTGTACTATTTGTTTAAAAAATATGATGTAACTCACAGCGCCGGGGGTGATTTAATCTGGTTTGAAAATAAAAGTTCACTCGCGCATGGAAGCGGCAAACGGCTGCGCACTGACCGTCTCCCTTTCTCTGTGCGTGTCTTCTCCGGAGCAGCAGGACCCTCGGAGGAGGGGAGACGTGAGGGGGTCGCTCCAGACGCCCCCCCCCCTCGGCGAGACGGCTCACCGGCGCTGCCTGCAGGGGTCGAGGACCAGCTCGACGACGACGACGACGACGAGGCGGGCGCGGTGGGCGGGGTCGGCGTTGGAACCGCCCGTTGGGAGGCGGAGCCCCCCCGTGGAATCGACTCTGGGGATCGGCAGGACTGGGCACGTGGCAGGAACCTGCGATTGGACGAGGATCGGAGTGGGCAGCCGGATATGGCGCCTGTGGTGGAGGAGGAGGGGGCCGAGAGGGTAGCAGCGGGGAGGGCACAGTGGGAGGCCGAGGGGGTGGTTGGGGGGGTAGAGGAGCAGGAGGAGGGAGAGGCTCACCTGGAGGAGTTCCACCTGCCAATGGGGATCATTCCACGGCAAACCGACTACCCACGCACCTGCCGGGCCAGGTGAGCTTGCCGCCGTGCCGCCGTGCCGCCGCGTACACTGCACGCCGCCGCGCCCGGCCACGCAGTTTGCCGCTCGCGTTTCGCTCTGCGACATCGGCCTTCGCGATCGATTTGCGCAAGCACGCGTGCTTCGTCTGCGCGCCTCGTCCGCGCGTCGAGAAACGGACGACCGCCATCGCCGCCGCCGACTGTGACGCCCACGCCATTCTCCCGCAGGTTCTACGGGACGGGGCTGATCGCGGGGCACGGCTTCACGAGCCCGCAGCGCACGCCCGGGATCTTCGTGGCATTCGACGACGACACCTTCGGGTTCCTGTGGGTGGAGCTCAACTCGTTCAGCCTGTACAGCCGTGTGCACGAGCGGCTGATGAACGCGCAGGCACCCTCTGCCACCGCCTTCGAGGCCATGCTTGAGGAGCTCAGGACAGCGACGGCATGATGGGCAGAGGGCGGAGGAGGAGAGGGGTGCGCGCGAACAGGCGAGGGGAAGAGCTGGAGGCCTGGAGTGGGGGGGGGGGTGTGCGATGAGGAGATAGAGTAGGCCTCCTGCGTGCCCCCCCCCTCACCCCCCTTAATCCGTGCTTCTCGCCGGAACGAGCCCCGAGCCATTAAATGTCACGAGCAGAGGTGTAAATGTGCCAGTGTACGACGGCACGCCATACCAGCACTTTCAGAATGTTCCTGCTCCAATAATACGATGTTTCAGCAGAGGGGATACGGCAGTGAGTGTCCGAGCACATCTGTGTGTGTGGGTATGGAAAAGGCGTTCATGACGCCTTCTGGCCAAACTCCATCTGGCAGAGCCAGACTGAACCCCCTCTCTCAGGGTTTCTCCAGGAACAGGAGAACACTGCGATTGGCCACTTGGAATGTTCGGACTCTCGTTGCGGAGGAGAGGCTGCCACTTATCTGTCGGAAGATGGCTTGGTACTGCCTGGACCTCTGGAATACAGGCGGCCCGGTGGACCGGTTCTGACTCCAGTCATCATGAGGGGTGGACAGTTCTCCACTCGGGGCAGGAAACTGCCAAACAACAGGGAGCGGTACTTCTTTTAAACAAAATAATGAAGAGGATGTGGGAGCGTGGCGGTGAGGTGTGGGAAGCTGTAAGTCCCAGGTTACTGTGGGCTCACTTCCCAATCAACAAGAGGCGAGAAATGGTGGTGGTGGTTGTTTTCGACCCACTGAAGATGAACGTCAGTGGAGGGATGCAGACAAGGCCGATGAGTCCCTCTATAACCTCCTGTCCCAGGTGCTAGCTCAAGTGGCCCCTTGAGTCCTGTTGGTGTCTGCGTCATGACCCGAGTGGGTCATGACGCAAACACTTGGGTTGGAGTGATCGGAACGAATGGGTCAGATCAGCTCAATCATAATGGTAGGAGGCTGCTAGACTTATGTGCAGCCAATGGGCTTGTAATTAACAAAATACTGTTCCGGAATTGGCATATCCACACAACATCATGGATGCATGCCTGGTCTAAGCAAAAACATCTGCTGGACTATATAATTAGGTACCAGCGGATGCGGGCCCAAGTCCTTGACACCAGGACCTACCGTGGAGCTGATCTGCCCACTCACCATCGCCTTGTTATCTGCAAGATGCGCCTGCCATTTGTCCACTCCGGCGGTGTGTGTCTATCTAGGACCCCATTAAAACCCACACTGGTCTGGTCTCAGCTAGCTGAGGATAGTTGCACGCAAGAATTTCAACATCACTTGCAGCTGAGGTTGTAATCGCCCCCCCCCCTCTCCTTCTGATGCTGAGGGGAAATGGGTGACGTTCAGGACTGTGGTTCATGCAGCTACAATGGCTGCATTGGGTATGCAGTCCAGACCTCCCCAGAGACCCTGGCTGAAGGAGGAGGTGTTCCGGCTGGTTGAGTGGAAAGTGACAGGCCCACTCCCATCGTCTACAACATCCAACATTGGAGGATGAGGAGGCTTGCCGCAGCCTTCACATGGAGATTAGGAGAGCCTTGCGGCACTGCAAGGATGAGTGGTGGGCACGTTGCTGAGGAGATGGAATTTGCCTCAGTAGCCCGCAATCACAAATCGCTATTTATATAAAAACTGTTACTTGCAGTGCCTCACCTATCACCATCCTTGAGGGAATGCACAGTGATCTGATTTCTGACACCCAGAAACAGGTATGCAGGTTTGCAGAGCATTTCTGTGAGGACTTGGGGGAGGAGAATTCCCTCAGCCCAGAACATGTCGTGGGGCAAGGTGGTGACTACCCTGCTAGGACTGCCGTGTCTCAAATATTGGCAGAAGTAGCCACCCCCCTTCCGAGTAGCTGGCTGAGGTGCCATCTGTGGATGAAAGACGGGGGGCGATCCGGAGTCTGAGACCAGGAAAAGCACCGTGCAGAGACACTATCCCAAGCGAAATGCTACGGGAGGGTGGCATCTGTGTGCAGACTGCCCTACATGACATCATCACAACTGTCTGGACCACAGGATGGGTTCTACAGGATTGGAAGGATGCTCTGGTGGTCTCCCCTCTTTTAGAGGGGGGACCGCACAGATTGTACAAACTACAGGGGCATCTCTCTTCTGAGTGTGCTGGGTAAGGTCCTGGGAAGGATTATTTATTCAACATTGCCTTACCAGGCACGCTGAGGACAGGCATCTGGAGCCCCAATGTGATTTCAGACCAGGGCGGTTTTGCACAGATGCCATATTATCTGTTTGTTTGCTACAGCAGAGGTGTAGGAAATTCTAGCAAAACAAACATCTCTGCTTTATTGACCTGGTCAAGGCCTATGATACCATCAACAGGCCACGGGTTTGAGCTGTTCTTCGTGCTTTTGGAGTCCCTGACTCTCTGCTCACAATCATTAAGGGCCTTCATGATGGTGGACAGCCCTGGGTAAAGCTACTTGGCCAGGAGTCAGAGCCATTTCCTGTTCACCTTGGGGTGTGACAGGGATATCCTCTGGCTCCTACTTTATTTAATGTTTTCATGGCTGTATCGGAGGAATTTCCATCTTGCACAGATACAGTCAGAAGCTGATCGATGCCCAGGTGCGGTCGAGGGATGGCTCCCTATTGGTCAACCATGTTATGTATGCTGATTATTTGGTGATTGCTGCTCACTCACAGGAGGAGTTGGAGGCGCTGCTGCTGAACCTGGAGTGTGCCACGAAGAGGTGAGGTCTTACCATCAGCCCCACCAAAACTAAGCACTTGCCTGGGTATTTTGTGCCACCAAACGCTCCACCCCCTCAGCTCCCCATTGGTGATAGAACAGTTGTGGAGGGAGTGGAACGTTTTCCATACCTGGGCAGTGTGCTTATGACCAGCTCCGGTGTGACAGCAGAGGTCTCACTCCGAATCGGGCGCCATTATATTTTCATCGGTTGCGTAATGCTGTGTGGAAGCTACCTGGTCCGTCGCTCCACAGGAAGCTTCGGGTCTTCTCGGCCACAGTCATGCCATCCCTTCTCTATGCTTGTGAAACGTGGACCCCTCTAATCTGTGCTGGTTAGAAACAGGCTGGCCTACCTATAATCCATCCTGGGTTTAACCAGGCTGGATTGTGTGAGGAACTCACATAGCCTTGAAAGATCTGGAAATGTTCCCATCAGTCAGCTCCTCTGGCAGGCAATGCTGCGTTGGCTGGGTCATGTAGCCTGCATGCCCAGTCATCGCATGCCCAAGCAGCTTACATTTGGCCAGATAGGGTAAAACATGGCATGACATGGGCTGCAGAAGAGATGGACTGATGCAGTACGAGAGGATGTGGAGCTGAGTGGACTTGCCAAAGACTGGTACCAACGGTGTCAAGGTTGGCCTCTATAAAAGAGGCTCGTAAAGGATGTTCCTGGGCCGTTGAACGCAGTCGCCTTCCAACAACATCTGAGGGCAGAGGAGTGACGCTCAAAACAATGAGTGAAGCCCGGGCAGCTAACATGCAGCAAGTTGGCACAGTAGGGGGTAGGGCTGAACGAATAATCGATTTCAAATCGAAATTTGAAACGTTGCGATTAGCAAATCGCAAAGGCTGCGATTTTTTGCGATTTGAAAAGTCTTATTATTGGAATTGTTTTTATTTATTATAACCTTATTTATGTAACTTAACAATTGTTCTATTTGGTTCTATTTCAATTAAACATTTTAATAAATACATGTTGGAAGCAATTAATATATTTTAAATTATCATCCTTGCATTAGAATATAAAGAGCAGTTCATATTTTTATGGTACCATGTGGTATTGCTCCATCACATGTTTTAAATCTATTACTCAATGAATATTGAGCTGAAGCTTGACTTAATTTTTTGGTTATCGCAAATCAAGTCGCAATCGCAATATCTGTCAGAAAAATCGCAATTAGATATTTCCCCCAAATCGTTCAGCCCTAGTAGGGGGTACAGCTGGTGCATCTGCCAGTGATTTCAGTTAACCCATGGCACCTGGGTCTGTCACATGACCTGTCAGCGAGCCTTCGACACTTCACGTGGCCTCAAAGTGCACCTGGCCTGGCATAGGCGCCATGGTGATGGCAACGTCACTTCGTGACGATTGGTGGGTAGTACTATTGTTATTGGTTTGTGTGTATATGTGTGTGTATGGGGAGTGTTCGTGTAGGAATTAGCGTGCTGCACTTTAAACCCGACGACCCGACTTGGATTCTCGTTCATGGCCAACAACGGTGACGATTATCTGAACTGGTCCTGGGCCTCCCCGAGGTAGACTCAGCCTCAAATGAGTAACATCGCCACTAGGGAGACAAAGGCGGCCGGGCGCGATGCGGGCGACCTACCCCCTCGTGTGCTGTGCCGACCTTCATAGGCGCTTGCTAACAGCACTTGTCCCGACAGTCTGTCAAGACTGCACGGGGGATCTTTGTGTGCGGCATGCACCGAGTCCGTTGACGTGGCCTCTGGGACGAAGAGCGTCTCATCCCGGCACTGCCGCTTTCACACTTCGCCCCCTGTTCACATGTGAACGTAACGGCAGCGGTAGGAGCCGGGTGAATAACGCCGTCTGGCTCACCGAGGCGGCAGGGCAGGGCGGACGAACGTCGCAGGGCCGATGCGTTTTGTGACAAGGGAATGAACGTGCAGGGCGCACGGGGGCCCTGGCGCTCGATTCCACGACCCCAGCAATACCGCACGACGGCAGCGGCAGCACGGCAAGTAAGAAACCCAGGGAAGTGTTACACTCTTTTTGTGTGGAGGGGGTGGATCGCTGCAAAATCAGGGACCGTGAGAGCTCAAGTTGTGCGAGGCCGTCTCTTGTACCCGTGCGCGCGCGTCCATGAAGCTCGTCTCCCCACCTCGGTGACGGCGGCGAGTGTGGAGTGGGGCTGGGGCGGGGGGAGGGGTGAGCTTGGCAGCGTTTACAATGCACTGTGTATGTATATTTATAGTATCGTAATTAATGAGTGTAGTTATCTATGTGACCTTTGCACCTCCTAATTCACAGCCACTCGCACTCCTGGCTGGGCTGCTGGGTGTGCGCCTGCATTCAGCCGTGGGGATAGTCCCAATGGGTGGCAAGGTCCCAGGTTGGTCCCACCCCAGTACCGCACTAGTACCGCACCAGTACACCAGTTACACACCGGTAACACGGCAGTGCTACACCAGTAAGTAACCACTGGGACATAGCCTCTGCGGCACCGGGACATGAGTTGTGAAGTTTGAGGAAGCGTTGGTCTCCCCGTGAAGGACGTCAATTCGGCAATTCGCGATGCGGTGATGAGCGAGATCGCCTGGCGGACATTGGCGCCTCTACCTCGCGCGCTCACGCCGTCAGTCCGCCGCCCGAGTACCTGCAGACTGCGGAAAGAGTCCACGATCATCGCGAGGGCAAAACTAAACATCCTCCCAGCCGTGACCGCGAATCATGAGATCGGTTACGGCACGCGAACCGGCTCGTGCGTATTGCATCATCGCAGCGGACGCAAACCCCGGGATTTAGATTCAGCTGGGTCGGCCACCCGGCACACCGTATCCAGAATACCTCGCGCTATGGCCGTTCGCTACTCGTCACGTGGAACCGTACTGCAGAGATACGATCCGGGGGAAAAAAATTCGTAAGGAATGAAGCCCTGAATATGATGTGGCTCTGCCACATGGTCTGTGACACACCAATCACACCCCGACGTCATTCACAAACAGACATGGGTTGCTGTGTCACGCGCATCATCCAGCGAGGTCTATAGGATGGGGTTGATCGCGATATGAACACTATACTGGGGGGAGGGGGTGGTCAAGGGAATTGTGGGGGGCCATCGCTGTCATCCCCCGCCCCCCCCCCGTCTTGTCCCCACCCCACAGCGGAACTCCGGCCGGCTCGTTCGCTCGCACCGCTGGAATGTGCAATGCGCGTGGCATTTCTGTTGAATAAAACGTCCACGGAGCGCCCCGTTGGGCAGCCTGCAAAGCGCGTGTCGCCATGGCCTGCCTGCCATGGGGGGGGGGGGGGGGGGCTGCGTGTCGCCGTGGCCTGCCTGCCATGGGGGGGGGGGGGGCTGCGTGTCGTCGTGGCCTGCCTGCCATGGGGGGGGGGGGGGGGCTGCGTGGCTGGACGAGGTGTCAAGGAACGATGCTGATGCTGCTGGCGGTGGTGGTTGTTGTTGTTGGTGGTGGTGATGGTGGCTGTCACCAGGGGGCGGTGGAGTAGAGACGTCTCTGTGTGTGGCATCTCGCGACACCGGCTGGTGCTGCGTGTCTTGAACCTAAACAAGTCGCTGGGCACGCAGGTCCCAGTGCTGCAACACGCGGGCGAGCTGTGGGCTGCGTGCTGCTGGCGGTGCCAGACACGAGTGCTGCTGAACGCGGTTTCCTGAACTGCGCCGGGTTATTATCGTGGGAGCTTGGGGAAGGAGAGACGATGGGAGGGAAATGCAACAATCGAGCAGATATTTACGTCTGTAAAATGGAATCACACATAGAAAGAGTTTTTTTTAGGGGCGGGGTTAGATCGCGTAAATACAAATGTGTCGTTAAACCCGCCACCGCCAGACACAGCCAATTAGTAAAGTTTGTCACGTACACAAAACGTGCCCATTGCTTACCAGTTCACCCTGCAGAATTGGCCCGTCATTGGTTGGGGCAGTCACTGTGTGAACCGGGCCCAATGGCTCAGTTTTAGTCAAGATCGACTCTTGACTGAATTGAACACGCACACGCACCGCCCTTCATCAATCCACTGCTGGACAAGGGCCTCCCACGCTGTGCGGGTCGTTTGACCTTATTTGGCCAGCGTTGGTCATTGCGGGTTGGTGAAAGAGGGGAGCAAACAGATGGCGGTTCAGCAGAGGGCAGTGGCTGTTGCTGCACTGCCGCCCTCTGCTGTTCACATCGCCGTAGCGCAGTCTGTGACCGACAACGGCCCTACTCTGGTTCTTTCGGAAAAGTCACGTAGGCTTAAAATAAAATAAATCACGACGTTTCGGGCGCAACACAACGTGATTTATTTTATTTTATACCTACGTGACGTTACCGAAAGAACGAAAGAGCATGGATTCCTGCAGTCACGAACGCTTCAAATCAAGATAACTACAACGGCCGCTTTGACGAATCGGCGAACGCACAATCGAAGTACTTCCCAGGCTCAGCTCGGCTTGGCTTGCGAGCTCTTCGACGAGTTGGGGCACATCCCGGGCGATTTGGCCATGAATTCCAGTCTGGGCCTCTTCTCAAGCCACCTCCCGTTGCTCGTTCCACCGCATCCAGTGCTGGCCTCATGCCAGTTCCAAATTCCTCCACGACATTGACCAACCCATGACCCACAAACAACACGAAACAACCCTCTCAGCCCCTCGACATCAGAGCATCGCGGGACCGCGTTTGATCGTTAGTGCACGGGCACGATTAAACTAATTCACACAGTCATCGTAAACAATTCCTAACGAGAGGAACTGTGTATTGCAAGCAAATGTTTAGAGCCCATGGACCTTATTCACAAAGTTGGGAGTTTTCATTTCGGTCTCAAATTATTTAAGGGTAAGGGAGTTGGTTGTTTTGTGGCTGTATCGCGTTTCCATTAACTTTGGCATCGCAAGTTCGGAGGATGCGGCTGTTACAATATCTGAATGGTCAGTGCCCGGAACGTCGCCTCGTTATATTTTAGTAGTGGTGGGCGGAGTCAGTAGGTTGTGGTGCATGGTGTCCGTAGGTAGGGGTAGGCATGTTTTTGATCATCTATGAAACTACTGGACATCTGTGAAAAAGAGCTTTATAGCTCATCGGATTCCTCCAGTACAAATACATATTCTGATTCAGGAGGCAGGGGTGGGCGGGGTCAGTGGGGGTGGGCGGGGTCAGTAGGGGTTGGGCGGCCTCACGCCCTGAATCCATAAATCCATCTTGCAGCAGCAGCAGCAAAGATAATCGTCGATTTTCCATCGTTCATCTCCCCCATGAGTTTGTGCGCCGGATGACTGCGGCGAGGCCCCGGTCTGCCCCCTGTTGTTAAGCGGACGGCTCATCTCCTCCCCGTTCTTGCCCCCTCCACAATAGGGTTGAACCTTTTTGGCAATAAAACGTCAGTTGTGTTCAGATGTCCAAACACCAAATAGAAACCTTTTGCAAGGAATCAAGTTCTTGCATTCATGCATTCTTGATTCATTGCAAAAGGTTTCTAGTTGGCGTTTGAACATCTTAGCGCGTCCTATTGTATTGCCAGTAAGGATACACCCTATTCTTACTTTTCATACTGGCAAAAAATATCCCAAGATATTGTCCCCTCCACTTAAAAAAAATAAAAAGTATGTTCTTACACATCCCATCAGCCGCACGGGCCTTCCTTCCTACGAGTGCATTTTTTTATGAAACAGCATTGATTCAACAGCACCGGTATCGAGATTCAGTGACTCATCATCAGCAGCAGCAGCAGCAGCAGAGTCCAGGCTTGCTGGGTCATAGTTGGACCCAACTCTCTACGCAACAAAATAAATAACACGAGCACTCCGAGATGGCCGTGAGGCTGATGCGATGTCTAAATATATTACTGCATCTGTATTTACGGGGTGCGTAAAAACATGATAACGCTTATATGGGACTATCGTTTTTAATGGGAAAAGAACGGATAATATACTGTAACATGTTTTTTTTGTTTGCATTCTGACCACAAGTATTGTGGTTAATGCAGACATGATTCCTTGTAAAAGGTTTCAGTTTGGTGTTTTAACATCTTAACACCTGTTTTGTTGCCAGAAAAAATGGGAAAACCTACTCTCATATTTTGTTCGTGGCAAAGGAGGTCCCATGATGGATGTTAATAGTGTCTAAAAGTCAGAGTCTCCGCTTGTTCGCCATCATAGTCAACACGTGTCTGGAATCTTCTTGTGCTATTGTTGTAAATTCTCAGAAGTGTTAAAACATTTGTTTTTGAAGCACCCAGTATTTTGGTTCCAGGAGTGTCGTCTTGTTGTGCTTCCACGCGCCCGGGAGGGTCGCGCCCCCTACGGGCACGGCTTGGCATCGCAGCCGTCCGAGCCCGGAACACGTCGCCGAGTGTTCTGCACGGAACTATCGCGACCCGATTCACAGCAGCAGCGGCGGCGGCGGCGGCGGCGATAATTATCACGTCGCTTCACCTGAAACCCCCCTCGCCCAGAGCAGCAACAGCACGGCAGGTGAGGGTGGTGAGGCTGGCACGGCGGGTGAGGGTGGTGAGGTCACGGCAGGTGAGGGTGGTGAGGTCACGGCAGGTGAGGGTGGTGAGGTCACGGCAGGTGAGGGTGGTGAGTGTGTCACGGTGGGTGAGGGTGGTGAGGGTGTCACGGCAGGTGAGGGTGGTGAGTGTGTCACGGTGGGTGAGGGTGGTGAGGGTGTCACGACAGGTGAGGGTGGTGTGTCTGTCACGGCAGGTGAGGGTGGTGAGGTCACGGCAGGTGAGGGTGGTGAGTGGGTGAGGGTGCTGAGGTCACGGCAGGTGAGGGAGCTGAGGGTGTCACGGCAGGTGAGGGTGGTGAGGTCACGGCAGGTGAGGGAGCTGAGGGTGTCACGGCAGGTGAGGGTGGTGAGGTCACGGCAGGTGAGGGTGGTGAGGTCACGGCAGGTGAGGGTGGTGAGGTCACGGCGGCTGAGGGTGGTGAGGTCACGGCAGGTGAAGGTGGTGAGGTCACGGCAGGTGAGGGTGGTGAGGTCACGGCGGGTGAGGGTGGTGAGTCGGGAGTGCAGTAGAGTAGAGCGGTGGCAATACGATGAGCTTGGAAGAGGCGATGCGAGTGGATGTGATGAGGTGAGAGGGGAGGATGCGATGAGAGTGGGGGGTGTGATGAGAGTGGGGGGTGTGATGAGAGTGGGATGATGTGATGAGGTGAGAGGGGAGGATGCGATGAGAGTGGGGGATGTGATGAGAGTGGGGGATGTGATGAGAGTGGGGGGTGTGATGAGAGTGGGATGATGTGATGAGGTGAGAGGGGAGGATGCGATGAGAGTGGGGGATGTGATGAGAGTGGGGGATGTGATGAGAGTGGGGGGTGTGATGAGAGTGGGGGGTGTGATGAGGTGAGAGTGGGGGATGTGATGAGAGTGGGAGGATGTGATATGATGAGAGTGGGGGATGTGATGAGAGTGGGGGATGTGATGAGGTGAGAGTGGGGGATGTGATGAGAGTGGGGGGTGTGATGAGAGGGGATGATGTGATGAGGTGAGAGTGGGAGGATGTGATGAGAGTGGGAGGATGTGATGAGGTGAGAGTGGGGGATGTGATGAGAGTGGGGGATGTGATGAGAGTGGGGGATGTGATGAGAGTGGGGGGTGTGATGAGAGTGGGATGATGTGATGAGGTGAGAGGGGAGGATGCGATGAGAGTGGGGGATGTGATGAAGTGGGGGATGTGATGAGAGTGGGGGGAGTGATGAGAGTGGGGGGTATGTGATGAGGTGAGAGTGGGGGATGTGATGAGAGTGGAGGATGTGATATGATGAGAGTGGGGGATGTGTAATGAGTAGTGGAGTGGGGATTGTGATGAGGTGAGAGTGGGGGAGTGATGAGAGTGGGGGGTGTGATGAGAGGGGATGATGTGATGAGGTGAGAGTGGGAGGATGTGATGAGAGTGGGAGGATGTGATGAGGTGAGTGGGGATGTGATGAGAGTGGGAGGATGTGATATGATGAGGGGGGATGTGATGAGAGTGGGGGATGTGATGAGGTTGAGAGTGGGGATGTGATGAGGTGAGAGTGGGGGATGTGATGAGAGTGGGGGGGGTGTGATGAGAGGGGATGATGTGATGAGGTGAGAGTGGGGGATGTGATGAGAGTGGGATGATGTGATGAGGTGAGGAGTGGGGGATTGTTGATGAGAGTGGGGGGTGTGATGAGGTGAGGGGTGTGATGAGGTGAGAGTGGGGGATGTGATGAGGTGAGAGTGGGGGGTGTGATGAGGTGAGAGTGGGGGATGTGATGAGGTGAGAGTGGGGGGT